GGGTTCAGGTCCCAGTTTGGGGTCCCAGTTTGAGACTCAGGTCCCAGTTTGGGTTCCCAGTTTGGGGTTGGGGTCCCAGTTTCGGATGCCAGTTTGGGTTCCCAGTTTGGGGTTGGGGTCCCAGTTTGGGGTCCCAGTTTGGGTTCCCAGTTTGGGACCCAGTTTGGGTTCAGGTCCCAGTTTGGGGTCCCAGTTTGAGACTCAGGTCCCAGTTTGGGTTCCCAGTTTGGGGTTCCAGTTTGGGGTCCCAGTTTGGGGTCAGGTCCCAGTTTGGGGTCCCAGTTTGAGACTCAGGTCCCAGTTTGGGTTCCCAGTTTGGGGTTCCAGTTTGGGGTCCCAGTTTGGGGTCAGGTCCCAGTTTGGGGTCCCAGTTTGAGACTCAGGTCCCAGTTTGGGTTCCCAGTTTGGGGTTCCAGTTTGGGGTCCCAGTTTGGGGTCAGGTCCCAGTTTGGGGTCCCAGTTTGAGACTCAGGTCCCAGTTTGGGTTCCCAGTTTGGGGTTCCAGTTTGGGGTCCCAGTTTGGGGTCAGGTCCCAGTTTGGGGTCCCAGTTTGAGACTCAGGTCCCAGTTTGGGTTCCCAGTTTGGGGTTCCAGTTTGGGGTCCCAGTTTGGGGTCAGGTCCCAGTTTGGGGTCCCAGTTTGAGACTCAGGTCCCAGTTTGGGTTCCCAGTTTGGGGTTCCAGTTTGGGGTCCCAGTTTGGGGTCAGGTCCCAGTTTGGGGTCCCAGTTTGGGGTTGGGCTCCCAGTTCAAATCTGGAGTTCCCAGTTTGAATTCCCAGTTTGGCTCCAGGCCCCGCCCACCGGAAATTGGCCCCGCCCCTTCCCCGTGGGAACCGGAACCAGGGAAGGACTGGGACAAACTGGGATGAACTGGGACAAACTGGGATGAACTGGGACAAACTGGGATGAACTGGGATGAACTGGGACAAACTGGGAGAGGGGGAAATTGGGGACTGGGACAAACTGGGATGAACTGGGCCAAACTGGGAGAGGGGGAAAGTGGGGACTGGGACAAACTGGGATGAACTGGGATGAACTGGGACCAACTGGGATGAACTTGGCCAAACTGGGATGAACTGGGACCAACTGGGCCAAACTGGGAGAGTGGAACTGGGACTGGGACAAACTGGGACCAACTGGGAGGGGACAGTAGACTGGGCCAAACTGGGCCAAACTGGGACTGTGGGACTGGGCCAAACTGGGACAGGAAGAACCCGGGAACTGGGGCCAAACTGGGCCAAACTGGGACTGTGGGACTGGGCCAAACTGGGACAAACTGGGAGGGCCAAACTGGGACAAACTGGGAGAGGAAGAACCCGGGAACTGGGGTCAAACTGGGCCAAACTGGGACCCTACTGGGCCAAACTGGGACTGTGGGACTGGGCCAAACTGGGACAGACTGGGACTGTGGGACTGGGCCAAACTGGGCCAAACTGGGACTGTGGGACTGGGCCAAACTGGGACTGTGGGACTGGGCCAAACTGGGACAAACTGGGAGAGGAAGAACCCGGGAACTGGGGTCAAACTGGGCCAAACTGGGACCCTGGACTGGGTCAAACTGGGACAAACTGGGACCCTGGACTGGGTCAAACTGGGACAAACTGGGACAAACTGGGAGAGAAGGGATTGAGGCCAAACTGGGATAGAGTGACACCGAGACCGGGCCAAACTGGGGCCAAACTGGGACAGGGTGACAGCGGGAACTGGGACAAACTGGGACAGGGTCAAACTGGGACAGGGTCAAACTGGGACAAACTGGGATCGGGTCAAACTGGGACAAACTGGGATCGGGTCAAACTGGGACAAACTGGGATCGGGTCAAACTGGGACAAACTGGGATCGGGTCAAACTGGGACAAACTGGGATCGGGTCAAACTGGGACAAACTGGGATCGGGTCAAACTGGGACAAACTGGGATCGGGTCAAACTGGGACAAACTGGGATCGGGTCAAACTGGGACAAACTGGGATCGGGTCAAACTGGGACAAACTGGGATCGGGTCAAACTGGGACAAACTGGGATCGGGTCAAACTGGGACAAACTGGGATCGGGTCAAACTGGGACAAACTGGGATGGGTCAAACTGGGAACTGGGGCCAAACTGGAACAAGGTGAACCAGGACTGGGACAAACTGGGACAGGGTCAAACTGGGACAGGGTCAAACTGGGACAAACTGGGACAGGGTCAAACTGGGACAAACGTCCTGATTGATTGGAGATTTTGGGGGAGGGGGAAATTTTGGGAGGGATTTGGGGGGTCCTGATTGGCTGAGGGGGGAATTTGGGGGTAATTTTGTGGGAATTAGGTGGGGAGAATTTTGGAGGAGATGGGGAATTTTGGGGGAGTCCTGATTGGCTGAAAGGGGAACTGGGGGGATTTTGGGGGGATTTGGAGGGGGTCCTGATTGGGGGGAGATTTTGGGGGTGATTTGGTGGGAATTTTGGAGTGTCCTGATTGGCTGAGGGGGATTTTTGGGGGGGATTTGGGGAGTCCTGATTGGCTGGGGGGGAAATTTGGAGGAGGGGGGATTTTGGGGTGGTTTCAAAAGGGGATTTCAAAAGTCCTGTTTCCCACACGTTTCTCCTCATTTCCCACCTTTTTTCCTCATTTTTCCCCCTCATTTTCCCCTCAAATTTCGCTTTTCCCGCTCCCATTTCCCTCATTTTTCCTCCATTTCTGTTCCCTTCCCCCTTGTGCTTCCCCCCTTTTATCCCTCACTTTTCCCACCATTTTCCCATCACATTTCCCCCTTTTTCTCTCACATTTTTCCCCGTTTTTTCTACTTTTTCCCCTCACATTTCCTGCCATTTTTTTCCTCTCACATTTCCCACCATTTCCCCTCACATTTTCCGCCCTTTTCCCAATTTTTCCTGCCCTTTCCTTTATGTTTCCTGCTCTTTTCTCCTCACATTTCCCACATTTTTCCTGCAGTTTTCCCTCACATTTCCTGCCTTTTTTCCCATTTCCCACCATTTCCCCCTCACATTTCCCCCTCACATTTTCCACCATTTTCTTTTAACATTTCCAGCATTTTTCCTCCTCACATTTCCCACCCTTTTCCCCTTTTTCCCCTCACATTTTCCATTTTTGCCTCACGTTTCTTGCCATTTCCTTCATGTTTCCCACCTTTTTCCACTCACATTTCCTACTTTTGCATTTTTCCCTGCCATTTCCTTCAATTTTCCTGCTCATTTCCCTTGTTTCCCACTTTCTTCCCCTCACATTTCCCCCTCACATTTCCCACCATTTCCCCCTCACTTTTCCCACCTTTTTTGCTCACTTTTCCCTCCTTTCCTCCCTCATGTTTCCCACACTTTTCCCCTCATGTTTCCTGCCATTTTCCCTGTAATTTTTCCCTCCTTTCCCCCCTCACATTTCCCGCCCTTTTCTCCTCACATTTCCCTTTGCTCCCTCCTCACATTTCCCTCTTTTTTCCCCTCAAAATTCCCACTTTTCCCTTCACATTTCCCACCATTCCCCCCTCACCTTTCCCGCCCTTTTCCCCTCAATTTTACCACCATTTTCCCCACACATTTCCTCCTTTTTCCCTCATTCCCCTTTTCCTCACTTTTCCTATCTTTTCCCCTCACATTTCCCACCCTTTTCCCAATTTTTCCTGCCCTTTGCATCATATTTCCCGCCTTTTCCTCCTCACTTTTCCTGCCTTTTTCTCCTCACATTCCCCACCATTTTCCCCTCATGTTTCCTGCTCTTTTCTCCTCACATTCCCAGCCTTTTTTCCCATTTCCCACCATTTCCCCCTCACATTTTCCACCATTTTCATTTAACATTTCCAGCCTTTTTCCCCCTCACATTTCCCACCCTTTCCCCCTCACATTTCCTACTTTTGCTTTTTTTTTCCTGCCATTTCCTTCCATTTTCCCTCTCATTTCCCCTTGTTTCCCACTTTCTTCCCCTCACATTTCCCCCTCACATTTCCCTTTTCCCCCCCTCACATTTCCTGCCTTTTCCCCCTCACATTTCCCACCTTTTTTGCTCACTTTTCCCACTTTTGCCTCATTTTTCCCTCAATTTCCTTCATGTTTCCCGCTCATTTCCCATTTCCCGCCATTTTCCCCTCACATTTCCCTCCATTTTCTCCACATTTCCTGCCTTTTCCCCCTCAAATTCCCCATCCTTTTCCCCTCAATTTTCCCCTCGTTTCCCGCCCTTCCCCCTCAGATTTTCCCTCACATTTCCCACTTTTGCCTCATTTTTCCCACCATTTCCTTCATGTTTCCTGCCCATTTCCCCTGCTTCCCACCATTTTCCCATTGTTTCCCCCACTTTTCCCCTCACATTTCCCACCTTTTTCCTCTCACATTTCCCTTTTTCTCTCACATTTCCCCCTTTTTCTCAATTTTCTGCCTTTCCCCCCTCACATTTCCTGCCTTTTTTCCTCACTTTTCCCAACTTTTCCCCCTCACATTCCTGAATTTCCCCCCTCACATTTCCCCTCATGTTTCCCACCTTTTCCTCCTCACTTTTCCCACCTTTTTCCCTTCATTTCCAGTTTTTTCCCCCCTCACATTTTCCATTTTTCCCCCTCATTTTCCATTTTCCCCCCCCACATTTTCCATTTTTCTCCCTCACATTTCCCGCCTTTTTCCCCTCACTTTTCCCGCCTTTTCCTCCTCATTTTCCTGCCTTTTCTCCGCCATTTCCCCCCTCATTCCCCACCCCCAAAATGGTGGAATTTTGCTTTTCTCCCCCATTCTGCGTCCCCCAAACCCCAAAAATCCAGAACCACCCTGACCAATCAGAGTCTTTATTGTGGGCGGAGCTTGCGCCGCCTTTAAATTAAAATACAAAACCCTAAAATCCCAAAAACACCCGGAAATGCCCCAAAAATGCTGCGGGGGGAGGGGCTGGACCCATTTTGGGGGGGAAATTGGGGGAGGGGCCCATGGGAGGGGTTTGGG